ACTAGCATCTGCAAGGCAAATACTATTGTCAAAAGAAATTACTTCAGGGGAATAATTTTACCAGTGTGAGTGCAGGATTTAATTCATGCCACGACAAATCATAGGATCCCAGAATTAGTCATAGGAGTCATTAAGTGTTCACTTACTTGACAGAGGTTGTAAGAAAAGGGAATATTGCTTTAAGATGCATCCTCAAAGCTGCTATTTTACCTTTCACTGACTTTAACCTGTGCTTCCTTATAACAGCCTGGGGTCTCCCCACATGAAGTGTAAAAGCATAAAGCACGTTATCACCCATGGCGTGCTCCTCCCAAAGCGAGTTTTGTGAGGGCCTTGGTCAAAACACTCAAAACAAGATCATGAGCAGAATTACCAACCACCCTAGAAATGGGATAGATAAAACCAGGACACCAGACCATCAGGTGTTATCCTTCGAACAGAGCCCTTTTGAACCTGAATTAATCAGTTCCTGCCAAGTTTCACTCCCAACTTACAACCAAATGCGAGATGTGGCATAAAATACAAAGATGGGGAAAAGAAGCCCCACAAATCCCTGCTGCAAAGGAGCTCTTTGCCATCCCCTGCCTTTTCATCTTTCCCGCTGCCCCTAAGTGCTACCATTTTATGTCTTCTGCCTGTCCTTTCTTCATGTCTTCTCTCCAGTTCATCACCGTCCAGCCTCTGCCCTCTCCATTACACTTGCCTGCAGCTAGACAGTACCAAGCGCCTCATGTTTTGAAAAACTGCTATAAAGAGCAGCTTTTCCATGAGAGGGATGGTCTTTGTGTTCTAGCTTGGCATGTTGATATGTAGCTAAATGTCTGCAAGAAGTCTCCTTCCCCCAAGGCTCTCCCACCAAGGGTTATGAAAGGAGTCCACTGTTGCAGCAGGTTTCAGAGCCCAGCAGTGAGGCAGGCAGACATCAGCTCTGACATCAGACAGAAGCCATGAGGTCAGCCCTCCTCATCACTGCTTGTGAGAGGCAGCCTGCCAACCTCAGCTCTCCTCTTGGAGAGCCGCTCAGGTCTTTGTCCATTTGGAAGGAGTCCACCAAAGAGGTTCTCTGAGACTACTCAAAAGGGCAGTCCAAATGCAGCGTCAAGTTTCTACAGGGAGAATCCTCATTAGTTAGATAGCTAGACAGCACGTCTTCTACATACCACTTTTTCTTCCTTTTCCAGAGTCTCTCAGGTTCCTCTTTTCCTCCTAAAACTGAGGGGAAACAACATCAAAAGGTCAGAAGATACGAGCTAAAAAATACACAAGCCAGCGAAAGATCCTAAAATATTAAACATCTTTCATGAGAATGCAGCCGGGGGGGCGGAATTCAAACCACAAAGAAATGACTATTACTTTTCTTATTTTGAAGCTGTTTCTCTGGGGATGCTGGACACTCAAAATTCTGCCAGTAGCAACAGACACAGAAGTTTCCATACACAAATCCAATTAATTCCATCCCAACTGTAACACGAGTGAGGAGAAAAAAAGTCAGAAACCAGGTACCCAGATACTATAAACTCCATGTAAACACAACAAATAAACAATTCCTCCCCCCCCGCCCCCCGAAGGGTACTTTCTTTCTATCATCTTTAAGCCTGTAGTTCCCCACAATCAAAAAGTAGTGCAACAAAAAGTATAGGAGTCATAAACCAAAGTATTTCACAGGGTCATCATCTTACCACATTTCTCTCCTAAGCACCTTCCAGTTGAGTTAATATTTTGAAATGTCCTCTGTGGAAAAAATAGCCTAAATAGGGCTGGAAGGAAATACTATTTGCCTCTTTCACCGCTGGAGATGCCTCATGATTACAAGAAAGTCCTTCTGACTCAGCTTTCTCAAAGACAAGATGGTTAACAACATGAAAAACAAGTACACAATTATCTCCCTCTCTAAATTGCCGAGTATGAAGGAGAGGAAGGATAAATTATTAAAGTAATATGCAGAAAAAAGCATGTGATTTTCTACTGTCCCTTTTTCTGCCACAGAAACTTACCTGCTTTGTTTTTCTATAGACTTAACAAACCAACACATAATATATCTGTTCTAGGCTTTCTCTTTTATTATCTAGATATAGCATGCTCAAAAAAACCCCACCCCAACCAACAGACCAAATAACCAAACACAAATAAAATCACAAGACCAAAAAACCCCAAACCAACCTCCCAAAGTAAACAGCATATCCATCCAAATTGACAGTGGTGGATAAATTTTTTTATCTGTTTATTTTTCTGGCCCCAAAAACCCACAAAATTTGATCAGCTGGCAGTGACTCTTATGGAAGAGAAATGAGTTTGTGGGTGTGACTCAGCAAAAATACATCTTCTCAGCAACAAAGCTAACCCAGGCCAGGATGCCGTATTTCCATTTGCTGACAAAGTGAAGCTCCTGAAGGTTTACACACGTGCCTGCGTTTTGCTTTTTAAAAATGCTCTTAAACGTTCCAGCTAACATTGCCAGTGCATATTCATTTGATGAAGTAGTCATAGACCTTGAGGAGTTACATCACTTCATTAATTTCCACTTGTCTTCTGGGAGCCCATGCCTCTAATAGGACAAAGTATGTTTGCAGCATAATGCACTTCTGATATTCTCAATTACGGCAGGTTGCTAAGACTTTTTAGCAGAAGTGTAAATCAGGGTGGCATGAAGATAACTAGTTTTCTTCAGCAGTGAGCTTCAGGAAAGAAGCCAGCCAACTTCTCTGAGAACATCCCTTCTAACTAAGAACACATACTAATTCAGAAAACATGGGCAATTCTGAGAAAAGTAGCAAATGTAGAGAAAGTTTTGTTCAACACACATTTAAAGGCAGTAAACCCCTGTAGACGCCCTCCAGAAAGTTTTAAAGCTACAAAGCATCGATCAAAGAAAAGGAGGTTCATCAAATGTTTACAAGTAAGTAAGAGCAAATCAGATTCCAATTCATCAGAGCATTGCTACCACTGTTAATGAAAAGAAGTCAGACATCACAGACCCTGGTTTGAATAGTTTCTGTGGTTTTCTACTAACTGTAAGCATGGTGGGACAGCCTTGGGGAGAAGTTGGTCTGAATTCTTTGTCACCATCTTAAGTTTAGACAATGAAGAACAGTGGGCAGACAGAAAGTGACTTTTGTGAACGCCATTAAAAATTCCCTATAGACATCATACCTGATGTTTTGAGGCAGCCACTGATGCATAACTGACCTTGCAGTTAATAGAAATTACATACCTAGCAGGTTTTACATAATTACCAGAGTACCTACTTGTATTTTCAGGCAATTTCTGACCTTTAGAATTTATCGTAGATCACTCTGCTAAGGATCTGTCTTTAAATTAAGAAAAATTTTGAGTGCATGACTACCAAGGCTATGGAAATACTGTTCTTATAACAGCACTTCATTTTAGTGATAAGAGCAAAACAAAGAATGCTTAATTTGCAGCAGATGCGACCTATAGAGCCTCTGCTGATAAGCAGGCCCACTAAGGATACATCCATTTGTCATCAATTTTTCCATTCCATAGGATAATGTGGAATAATCTTCCTAAAAGCATCACAAAAAAAGCATTGCAAGGAGAAATATGTCAATATCTCATTTCACAATCACTTTCACATTTATTAACTTGAGCTACAATTTTATACGTTGGTACAACTCTTCTAAGTGAATAAGTCTAAATAGAGCAGGTGATTCTTTGAAAAACTAATAAAAATGCCACTTGGTATTTTTCAGTTATTTGAACAGACATTAACAAGCAGATCCCTGTAAAACCAGCTGAAGTTGCCCTATTCAGAATCACCAATTCCAAAAACACTCATTAACAAAATCTTTCCAGGAAGAGAAATTCCAGCGGGAATGGGGAGCAAGAAAATCGTAATGAGCCACATCAGAATTCTTGCTTAAAATAAGCTTTGACAGAATTTGCCTTTCTCTGTAAACCAACAGACACGGACTTTTGCAGCCCCAAAAGAACTCCCAAAATCCCTCATGGGAGGATTCAGAGCAGAAACTGGAATTCTAGTTACAACTGAGGAAGGGTACAAACAATGAAAACATAACAATGCACAAGCTATTAGAACAAGCGCATGCAATATCTAGAATAAACCAGTCAGTCACAGAGGGACCCAAGTGCCTCATTTCAGCACTGCCCTTAAATTCCCACGAAATACAAATCCTTTCTCAGAGGAAGGTTGTTAACCACGGACTATAAATTCAAAACCAGGCAGACAAGCACACAGGAAACTAATATATTTTAACTGCATAGGCTTAAGAAATGTAGTTCAACACACAGTTAATTTTGGTGACAGGTATATTGAAACCAAAGGTTATCTCTCTCTAGATAATAATACATTTTTTTTATTTCTTAACATAAAGAATTTTACAGAATTAACACAATGTATTACATTGAAAATAAGCGTCTCTGGCTGAATATTTGAAGTAGCAAGGAATATTTTAATTCATGGTTTAATTTTTGTGGTGACAGAGTTGGTTGGTTGGGGACTTTTTGTTTATTGTTGTTTGGGTTTAGGTTTAGGTTTTGGTTGGGTTTTTTTTTTTTTACACTTTTCTGTTTTGTACAGTCAGAGTAGATAGGAAATACTATATATTAGTTTGACAAAGGTTATCACTGCTAAATTTAAGTTAAAAAAAAAGTCACAGCAATAGAAAGTAAAGAAACCAGATATTTAAATATAAATTATTTGTTTCGAAAGCCACTTAGCAAAACATAGGAAAGGAAGAAGTGCATTACAAAATATTTGTGTGCTTATTAAAACCTTCGGGATTCAATGCTCAGTTTTGGATGCCTGACCAAGATGAAAAAATAAAGATCAGTCAAGACGGTCCACAGAACAAAGGGCTAATTGGTGTGAAGATCTCTGCACTTTCACTACTGCAAACATCCACAAAATTGGAAAAGGATGACCTGCTCTCTTTCAAGCTAACTACCAGCATAAGAAACAGGAAACGAGACAAAGAATGTTATAAGAATAAACATATTACTTTTATAAGAATAAAATTCTGAAGAAAAGCTACCATTGATATTTATACTGTAAAATCTAAAGCTTTTCACAATGCATCATAAAGCTAAATTTTCTCTTGCATATACCCCTTCATGCATTTTAGTATTCTAATTCCCTCTTATTTTAAAATAGGCCACTTTATTCTAATATCAAGTAAATGCTGCCTTTTGGTATGTGGAACAGCCTTTATTATTTCCAATGAAAAGGAATGAACAGCATTTATATTGAAAAAGCACTTAGCATAGCTCAACAGACACTCTAAGAAATTTGCCATGTATCATTCTGAAAGCATCCAAAATTTCCAGTCTCTGAAATCAGTTTAAGACACTAATTATGAAGAAGTAAGGCACGAGACTAAATCCTGCCTTGTTTAGCTCACTCCTTGTTCAGAAAATGTCTCTTCATTTTTGCCATCTTCCACTCTAAATTCCCCAAGGGTTCCTTAAGATATTAACAAAATCATCATCATCCATGATTCCAATACTTAATCCTTCATAGTAATCTTCAAACTCAGAATAGGACACTTCATTGGGGTTGCTGCAGGACTCTCCTAATGTTTCTAGAAATGACGACTTAATTTCTTCTTCTGTTGCTTTGCCTGTGAAAGCATATTTTTCCATTAAATACATTTCCAAGAACAGTGCATATATAGCATTTAATATACTTCAGGCAAGAAACTTTCAAATTTCAGCTTGCAAATATTTTTTTTGAATGACTTTAATATTCTGCTTTCAGACTTAAGTCATTGGCTCACATAATGTCAGCTGCAGAAATCTTACTTTAATAGCACGTGATAGCATTAAACATTAACAGAAACATGAGGCCACAGTCAATTTCAATGAATCATGAGATCAGGAAGACTTTTTTTTTTTCCCCAAATGACTGCAAAAGCTGAATAATGCATTCATAAACTAAAATTTTGGTAATTCAGAAGTTACCTTGTAATAAAGCGTATGTTTACTGTAATACAAGTTCAAAGCTCTAGGAAAACCTTAAGATCCAAGTGTGCATTCAAAAAGTGTTCTGCAATTTACATGTGTGTTTTAGTGACTTAATAAAGATTATACTCAAGATGATTTCATAACATCGAGAAAAAAATGGAAAAAATATAGCATTATAACATTGGAAAAAATCACATGTGTAACATCCCTAATACCACCATGTGTTATCATGTGTTAGCATTAAAATCACTGGCAATACAAAAAACATCCTCTCTTCTACAGGTAAAACAGAGAGGGTCAGGACAGTAGGGAGACTTTCACATTGACTAGTTTGGTACACGGAGATGTTATTTTAGAAACTGACATACAAATATTTAAACACCTATTTTTTCAATGGCAGAGTTTAAACATTTTTGAGAATTCTGAAAAACATTTCCTCTGTAAAGGATGACAATCCTGTCCCAGAAATAAATGAATAATTTATTCAGAAGGAACTTCAAGTGCTAAGTACATTCAATGTCAGTTGGAAACCTTGCATATTTTGACGGAAAACAGTAATATGAAAATGAGAGTATCCTCCTAAGTTAAAATTAGTAATATCATACGTGTCACTGATAACTTGCACACCAAAGCTGAGAAATAACTGCTTAAATGTAGCCCTACACAGGTGGGGAAAGGTATTACTCTGCACATATGCAGGACTCGTAGCTTGATAAAAAGCAAGGATTAAAACTGTGTATATGAACTCCATTACTATTTATAGTCATGTTCCAGTTATACACCTTATAGGTCATCAGAGGTAAAAAAGTTCTCCTTAACAGCTCAAGTCTAAGCCAATATGAAAACAGTTTATATTTGCAACCAGTTTCTGGATCTGGTATCTCTGCTAACAAGATGACTTTAGCAATTACAGATTTTCATCTTCTTTTTGTTCATGTGAATTACCTGCCAATACCAGAGGATGTTTCTTTGCACAGTAACATTTTCTGATATCTACCATAGGCACACTCCCAGTTTTGTTGAAATCTAGTTTCATATAAGCCTATAAGGGAAAAAGAATTTCATATAAGCATATAAGGGGAAAAAAAAAAAGGTGGAAATACGTAAAGATCAAATATACTTAACTACCTAGCACATATTTTTAGATCTTATGCAATGGATTATGTCAATTTACCTATTTTATGTAAGGCACCAGATACCAGAAAACTATTCTAGACTATGGAGTTTCATGATTATTTTTTTCAACAGCTTTCATATCAAATGTGGTCCCCTCACGAACTCAAAAAAAAAAATTGTCTTCTCTCCAAAATTTCTAGCTCATCCTTAGACTCAGAAGTTAAGCTGCTTCCCTTCTGCCTCCTCCAATTACTCAGATGCCTGCGTCATTCTGACAGAGGCCTCAACACAGCCTCTTCAGCACTGCTAACAGCAGCTTCATTTTCATTCCAGTTTACTCAAATACACACACTTGATACATAAGGCTAGGAGAGTCAGATCCTCCACGATTAAAAGTATGAAAGTATATGTCATTCTTCTCGATCTCGATATCCAGTTGCTACTCCATTGGCTGGTTTGCAATCAGTGTTTCAAATGGCTCCACATTACATTAGACATAGAACAAATGGCATTTCAAATATAAGAAGTCTCACAAATATAATGACTCTAATTGTAGGTCTCAAAGGAGGCAAGTAGTATTGCCTTCTATTGCAGATACAGAGGGAAAAAAAAAAATCTGCACACAGATATAGTGATCTGCGAAAATAAGGAAACAGACTTCTGGAAAAGATAATTTCAGGGTGCCAGATGCTTTATACATGAGATTGAACTGTAAGAATAGCACATATATGCATAAGCTCAAAATAATAAAGGAAAGAGTTTAAAGTTAACTAATTCAACAATGGAACAGCATGCTGTCCTGTAATTTATGTTTATTTTAATAAACTGATCTGAAAGTTTTAAAAGTCAATTACCAGATGCACAATTTAAGAAAACAACAACAAAAAGACCCAACCACTGGAACATGACGAGTAACTAACTCCAAAGTTAGACTGCAAAATATCTATACTTAGAATGTCTGCAACAAAACTTACTTTTCTTACAAACGCTTTCCTATATTCATTCATTTCTCCAAATATGGCACGAGTAAATTCTCCATAGTCGACCTTATCACTCTTGGTATCATCAAGAATTAGCCATAAGGATTGAAAGTCCTGCAATTTAAAAATATTGTGCCAAAGTTCTTCACTATATCCTAGAATAAAACAATTGCTACAATAGGAAAATAAAGCATTCTCACAAAAAACAACTTCCAAACCCAAACTGACTCAAAGATTTGTCAAAATAATGTAAGTCATCATCGGTCGCTGATGACCATATTTCACATTATCTGCAGTTCTGATAGCTGTGGGCTATTTTTAAAACATAATATATAAAACATAGAAAAAAGATAAGTAAATACCATCATCTAAATTATTTTTATAAGGCCAAAAAAGAAAAAAATGGATTGCAATCCCACTTGCTTCTTCATGATGTAAAAAGTTTGCATGTTTTTAAATTTGTTATTTTTAAGAACTTCACATAGAACTGAATGCAGAAATGCCAATATACCATGATGGGGGCGGGGGGGGGAGGGATCAAACCAAAAAAAAAATAACAAAACACCTTGCAAAAAAACAGCTATTAAACTATAGATTTAAGCAAAGAAAAGAAGTGATTCCATAAATTATGGATCTCAGATATTAAGATAATATCCATGATTACAGCTTCAACCAGACTTACCCCTTCAGGCATTTCCAAATGGAACACTTTTAGAGCTTCTTTAAAGGCTGCCTGAGAGAGAAAACCATTTCTGTTCTTGTCTACTTGTCGGAAATACTTTCCTAAGCCTGTTATAACCCGAACTTCTCTTTTCCTTAGTGTCTCTCTGAGCGTACCTGAGAATTTAGAGAAATAAAAGACACAATGTTTACCTGAACTTGGCCACTTGCTATGAAGCTGCTATAAAAGTAAACCACAACGACTTCTGATACTGCTGGTTAAAATGACACATCCTGGCGTGCAGGCTCCCTTATCTTTGATGAGAGAACATCAGTTCAAAATGAAACTATCAGTTACTTAACATCTGAATAGAAATCATATAAAGCAGCAGCAATGTAAAACAAAACTTTTAAAGAGATCACAGAAGGAAAGGAAGAAGGGCTATTGCCGTCTATGTGCTCAGATTATAAAACTGCTTACTTCTGCTAGAACCAATTACATATCATGATTCCACATACAAAGCAACTTAGGAAGACTACTTTGGTAATATAAACATTCCACTATGGGACACAGAGTTGCTCCTTCATCGCACAAACTTGTTAAATACATGTGGAAGCAAGAAAGATAAGTAATTCTGCAAAATTCTTCCAAAATTATATACAGAGAACTATTTCTATTGTAAAAACGACAGCCTTCTCAAAATCTTTAGGTAGCAGGTTTACTTCAGGGATGCCCGAGTTTCTCAGTATACTCTGTTAACAGTAGTCATCTGCTATTATCATATTGTATCTTCAAATTACTTGTATCTACAATTATAAAGCAAAATAGCAGGGAGGGTGAAAGGAAGTTTCTTCCAGTGAAGTTCAAATTCAGACATACATTAAAAGATATCTTGAAGTCTATACATATAACCTTCCTCCCGGCCACACCAGCAAACCTTAGATGTAGTCGTGTAATTGAGAAATCAATTTGTGTCTATTATGCAAGGGGGAAAAAATGGAATAACTAGAAGATTTAAAAAATATTCCTAATCATTATTTCAACAATTTTTCTAAAAGTAAATGTCCAAGCAAATTTTAGTGACTCAAGAGTACCTACTTAAAACAGGTTTAGCTAAGAACAGTCAACAGTGGAGATTCTACAAGCTGGAAGCTGCTCAGTTCAACAGTTTTTGTGGACCACAGGTTACAAAGATAATACACAGCGCCGCATAAACATCTTTCCATAATTTTAAACACAAAGCTATGTCTTTGTCCTAAAGACTGTATGTAGGAACCCGGTAAAATTTATTTACATATTCCAGAATATACTACTCAATTATACTCACATATTTTAATAAGCATAATATTAGACTATCAAAAAACAGTTTATCAATGTATAGAAATAATGGCCAAAAGAAGTATCTAGTACAAAATTAATTGAAGAAATGAGACTGTGTTTGTACATTTTGCCAATAACTTTTTTAATTTAATGCCATAATTTAACACAGTTTAATATAGGATCAGCATTATGTTTCAGCATTTTTTCAGAGATTATGTAGACACAGAGATCATTCATTACATTCACAATTATTCTATACTATCTACATGATTTTTAGCCAGACTGTTTATTTAAAGAAAGAGAGGAGAAAGTATTCTTCTGATTGATTTATGCTGGTATCAGATTCTAATAATATTCTGATAGATATCTAACTGCTGTTTAATTTCATTTATACAAATAAAATCTTTATAATGTTACTATTGTTCTCCGCATTGAGCTGTAAAGACAGAGATATAGAAATTAAAATTAAATGGGTTCTGGTAGACACAAACCTTGAATCTTCTTGAAAATTTTGCTGTCATCATCCACTTGCTTGGAACACTCCTGCTTGAATTCCATAGAAGCAGCTCTAAAATAATCAAAATTAATGTTGATTGGTAAAATTACATGTAATATTACTGAATTCAAAAGAGTTGTAGTAAAAAATCAAATCTATTGAACTTTATATTTCATTCTTATACTACCCTTATATTCATAGTAACTAATTGCTTGAGTTTGAGATGGCACACACAAAAGTCCTTGCTGAACAGCTGCAGACATGCAAAAATCCCTTTCTGACAATATTCCATTAGCAGCTCCTCTACTAATTCATTAATCATGAATAATTCCTCCTGTGCATAAAATCTCCAGAAATTTATTTCAAGACAGTCCTAATCTTCACCTCAGGCCACTGGAAGAGTTTGTTAAAGCAACTACTTTTAGTTACCAACAGGAAAAGAACATGAAGTAGTTACAAATTGCTCTTTAGAAGAGAAACAGCAAGCATGTAGACCAAGAGCTGGATCAGCATATCTTAGATGTGATCTAGGAATTATGGTTAAATTTTGTGTTTTGTCTGGCAAGTTCCCTTCTGAAAATGGCTTCCCAGAAGCACCCATCAGAAATTGTTATAAAAGTTGATTAAAAAAAATACTGTGGAAGAATCTATTGGACGAAGAAGAAGAAAAAAAATCCTATATTTATTTTAATCAGCATAGAAAAGCAAATGGAAAAGCACTACTGTCAACTCTGAGCTGCTTGCTCACCAGTGTTTTGTCATGGAGTACTCCTTTCTGCTTTCTGAGGCCAAAGACTCACATCTCTGCTGTCTATTGAGACACTTCATCTCCACTTTGGGTATCTCCCATTATGAAGTCCCTAAAAGCTTGCATAAACTGGAAAGTCAACAACAATCTACAGAGGACAGTGTACTCTCTCTAAAAACCAAAAGATTCATGGCTTGAGACAGCAGGGCATAGTTGCTCCTGAAAACCTTTTGGACTGTACCTGAGCAGGACTCTCTGTGAGTAGTGTAATGGAGGTAAGAGGACTCAATTCAAGAGTTTCACACCAGAGAATATCAAGTTCAATAACACCCCCATTCAGAAGAAAAAGATAGACTTCACAATCTGAAATTTAGTCACTAATGGAAATAACACACAGAGAGAGTATAAAAAAAGAAACAATCTGCTCCACCACAGGTAGCAGAAAATCCAAAATTATAACCCAGTGAGCAGGTCTTCTTCCTGGAGCCTTCAGAGACAACATTGGATCAACTCCAAATTTCACAGGTATAAGATCTAGCAACAAATGAAAGAAAAAGCTATTTCCCCGAATGACAGGCTTCTGAGATGTAAAATGTCTTACATAAACTATCTGAAATTAAACTATGTTGTGTTTTATGCCATGGAAACCTTGCAGAGAGGGAACAATTAGCACTAAGCATCATACAACTATATATTTCTATAACCAATGACATTTGAATTTAATGTTTTCTGTACTGTTAGCTCACTATGGCTCCTTTGTAAAGCTTTCAGTATAAAGGGACCTTAAAGTAAATCTTACCGTAACTGAGAACAAACTCCTTGTGTCTAAACACTTGCAGAAAGAAAAATAATGGTCAGATAAGCTGTGCTAACAAAAGTAGTCCTTCGATACTGAATGTATTTAATTGAGATTCTGTTATTGCTCTTCCTAGTCAAGAAGGGATTGAAGCATCTGATATATGAAGAGAGGCTGGGAAAGCTGTAACTGTTTAGCCTGGAGAAGAGAAGGCTCGAGGGATCTCATCAGTGTTTATAAATACCTGACAGGAGGGAGTAAAGACGACTGACAGGATCTGCTCGTGGAGCCCAGTGACAGGACAAGAGGCCATGGGCACAAACTGAAACACAGGAGGTTCCCTCTGAACATCAGGAAACACTTTTGCACTGTGAGGGTAAGCGAACACTGGAATAGGTTGCCCGCGGAGGTTTCAAAGTCTCCATCCCTGGAGATATTTAAAAAATCCAACTGGATGCCGCCCTGAGCAACCTGCTGTAAGTAAACCCAGCTCGGAGCAGGGGGGTTGAACTAGAAACCCTGCTGAGGTCCTTTTCTATGATTCCATGATTTTATGAAAATTTCTACCTTGTAACATCTGCTATCGGCCAACACTCCTCACCAAAATTTGAGTAATCAAACTCAATGTATTTCAAACACTGTTAAGTAACTTCCATGTTCAGGCAATAGTGTGACAAATTTTATACCAAGATTTTATTTGTGCTAAGAACCAGTACACTCACAATAAAAGCCAGAAACCCCAGAGGAAGATGCTTCATTCCCTAGACAGTTTACTTCTGTATAGATATTGAGATGAGAATATTACCTTCAAAAAGAACACATACTCAAAGACTAACCATTCACCTAACCATTTGAAAAGAAATGGAACAACGTAATTTACTAAAATCCATTTTGAAAGAATAAGTGCAGAAATCCTGTCCTGGTGCCTGAAGTCTTCAACATGTGGCAATATCTGGAAGAACGAAGAATGAAGGGATAGGAAGAGGAAGGAAAAAGAAAATTAAAAAGAAAAAAAGAGAGAGAAACCTCCAATCCTTCCTCTGCCTGTGTTCAAACACTTGCGTTATCATGAACGATACAAGCTTTTATAACACAAGCTTCACAAAAGATTCAATAATAATGTTGATCACAAAAAAAGCATTTTTCCACAGAGTATTTTAGTTCATCACATAAGAAAAGTTTCAGTATATGATTTGTATATAAAAACATCTGACCTCAAACAATGTAAATAAGAGTTTCATAATTTAATTCTTATTTTAAAAATTACTCCTTATCATTGAAGAAAGTTACTGAATTACAGAACATCCACTAACATCTATTCCTAATTTCTCCTAACAACAGCCTAAATACAGATTTATTTATTTTTTTAGCAGTATAAGTAGTAAGATATTAAAACCTCTTATTAAAATATCTTTTAATTTGAAAAAGTTAGCTGCACTTACTTTAGAAAATCCATCGCTGCTTCATCAGTACTTATCACACGAAGGGTGAGAACTGGGTTCTGCTTAACACTTTCTGGAAGTTTATGATCAACACTTCGGAAAGTTAGGTTAGCTCCCTGTTGGAAAAGCATACAAGGATTTACAAATAGGTCATGTATTCCATAAGACTTTCAAGTGATTGTGAAAAGCTTTGGTATGAAATGATGAAAAGGTGTTGCTACATTCAGTCAACCTTCTTAACAGAGCCTTTCTAGTACTAGAAACAGCTGCAGGCTCCAAAAGGACACATTATCCTCTACACAGAGGTTTGTCTAGTAAGAGGGCCTACCGTTGCGTAATCTATAGCCGAGAAACTGAGACTATAGATTGTTGCTCCCTCAGTCTGGCTCTACTTTTCAATTTTTCTTCTCCCTTCATCCTTATGGGACCCAAAACTCACTGGACCACAGAACAGAGTCACAGAAGGTGCCACATTGATTCCATGAGAGCAAAGTTGTCTCAGATTAGAAGAAACCCTCCACAGCTATTTTCAATAACTTAAAATCATACTTGAGATAAACAAAAAACTAAAAAGTAGCCTTCCCAAAGTTCAAATAATTCCTGCAATGTTTAACTATAAAGGTATTCTTTAAAATTGCTAGATTTCACTAATAAATATTGAATAAAAATACGTTATTAGCAGCATAGAGTTCTATTACCCAGTATAGTCTCTTCTGAGTATTACAAATTCCCCTTCCCTCCAAGTTGGTGATAGAGGACACACCTCACGTATTCTGCAAAGTTAAAGATGCTTTTTGGTTGGGCAAAAGAAGGAAGGGGAGAGAAATAAAAGCAGCAAACTAAAACTAAAGAATGCTGAGAAGAATAAAAAAAAGTAGTAGCTCTAACTGTAATATCATAGAATCATAGAATAGAATCATAGAATTATTATGGTTGGAAGAGACCTCAAAATCATCAAGTCCAACCTTCTACCCAACGCCACCATGCCCACTAAACCACGTCTTGAAGCGCCACTTCTGAACGTTTTTTGAACACCTCCAGGGATGGTGAGTTCACCACCTCCCTGGGGAGCCTGCCGTGCAGGTTTAGGTTATAAAGCCTCCAAAACTCATAAATTAGGAAGGAGACAGACACACCATTATTGTGCAAGTATCTCAACCATTTGGACTTTGTGGGAGATTTGTGTATCCTAATGTGAGCCCAGAAACCCAGTTTGCAGATACAGAGATTCACAGATACAACATCATTCCAAACAGCTATCGAACTTCATAGCAGTACATTTTCTGAATGGCTTTAAGACGCACCTTTATTCAGAACACATTTCGATCTGCAGGTCGCAAAGATATATATGACAATTAAAAAAAAAACAAAAAAACAAGAAAACACTCTCAAAAATAGCGTCAACCTCCATACCATAAAGAAAGTAATCTATTTCATGTTGGAAACTCTTATATCGTAGCCACATGTAAACAGTTAGGATTAGGCAGGTGATTAGACAAAACACTGTAAAAAGTAATGTTGTCTTCTTTTACTTTCAATACTTCATTTAAATATGGTTTTTGCTCTAAACTCAGGATTTGCAGGAGGATGTGAAGAACTCAGGGAAAACACTCTGTACTTGAACAATTGCTCAAGTATTTATAACCAGGAACACTTAACTCAGTACAGAAGTACAGCATTACAGAAGATGCAATATGATTTGTAGTCAGTCATCAGATTAGGTGGTAGATGAAGTTTACTGTTGTTTGAAAAGCTCTCTCTAAACAGCCAGTGGTAAACATTTTCAAACTTTAGGTTAAAAACAAGTAACCTGCAATTTCCTCATGTTTAAAAAAAATATTTAATCATTGCCTTGTGTCAAAAATGCCAGCAGACCTTGCAAAGACTATTAATTTTTTAACAAGTACTTTGGTGTACTTCATCTTCAGGACATCCCTCGCCGACTTGTTCCCGTTGCCTACAGAAGGTCTACACCGCCTGCAGCCTCGTGCCCTCTAGTGGGAAAATTGCAAGCCACAGCTTCTTCTGAGGCCAAAAATGGAATCTCTGAAACGTGGGACAGCAAAATAATCCAGACTCCTGAAAATCTTTTAACTCAAAAATGTTACTAAAGACAAAGACTTCTGGTCTTCCCTGAAAGCTAGATCACAATTTTCAACTCGGATATCTAAATATTACTTCCAAATCACCAACAAAATTGCCTTACGTTCAGCAGAAGAATACTTACAATATAAAAGTCACTAAGATCATAAGCTTTGCCCTTCCTTTGTCCACGCTGATGTTGATAAACTCCCTTCTGAATGAAAGGCAAGGCATTTGTTCTGTGAAATAATTCAAAACTGGTATGAAAACAACTAAATTTATTTAAGTTTCTTAGACACAGTGGAAGATGTTTTCTAAAATCTTTTTTAAAAAGTAATTTATCCTACCTATTTTTTCCAAACTGCCGAAATTCATACACCGTAAGGGATCCATCACATACAAAAAAAAATCCAATCAACTCTCTACAAGCATCGCGACCATTTCTAGAAGGAAAATCGAAAAGCACCTTTATGTTTTTGCATCTATATAAATCCAAGTCAGCGCAAACATAAGTAACATTTATTTTGGAATATGCATTTTATTTCCAATGTTGCATACTGCACAATCTTTTTCTTTGAAAGAGGTACCTGACTATTTTCTCTAACCCACCATGGAATTCAACTTCTGGATTTGAGTATGTAGCTCACTGCAATATTCCATTCTCCATAATGTTAGAAACACCTTTCAAGGCTTCATGTTTTAGTATACCAATGTGATTTTCACTCATTAACTAAAGGATTACTTACACTAGGACCACTGCATTCATTATGGTATATGCAGCTATGGTACAGGAAGATATGCAGGTGAATCCTCAGCTATGTCTAACAAGTATACAGCTCATTGCTTCAGAAAAGCACCACCTTCAGAGCTGGAAAATATCTTTATGTCACCGCTACTCCATTCAGAACAGTTTCAAAGACGCCCTGAACCTAGAAGTTTAATACGTAAGGAGCTACGAACAAGAGACAAAGCTATCCTTTCCATACACAGTTGTTGCCATATGCTAAGACAAGGCTAAAATAACTTTTAATCAACTGAGGTGCAATGCTAAGAGCACTATTTTATGGAGCCCCTGTGCTAACCGTCCTGCCCAGAGCTACAGGTATGACAGTAACATCACTTACACATCTTAACATTGTACAACGGGACTGTAAAAACACTATTCATCAGCCACATCAAAATTTGTTATTATACATGTACACATATATATACCCACACAGCACATACTTTTTTCTAAACATAGTGAACAGAAGTGTCCAGTGCAATTAATCAGTTCAAGAGAGTAAAGAGCATCATTCATAAATTCATAGAATTGAAAAGCTTCACAAAATTTGCGATTACCTTGATATAATCCTACTATCAAAGCGCAGCTTATTAGAGAGCATGTTTTCAGTTAATCCTGATTTGGTCCTTATTCTGGGAAAATAATGCAGCATGTTAATGACACTTATATCCTCACAGAGAAGTGTTACATAAAAATCAACTGTTTCAAAACAGCAAAAAATTTGAAATACGGTCTCCTTGGCAACTGGCTGAGGAGATGATCCCTTGTAGCTGAATTAGAAAGCAACTCAGAGTTGTAATGTGGAAGGTGTTCTGTAATTGTATAAGAGTACATTCACAGAAGGCACAGAGTGAATGTAAACAAAATATCCCATTCATATCATATAAAGAATTAAACCTGTACCATTTGCCGTATTTCCCCAAATCAATGTTTTCTTGCAAAAATACCCAGGTTGGGGCTTCTTTACCCACCTAGATGTTTTATATTGGCCATATTACTAGTTCCAGAAATTGAGATTTGTCCATGTGATGAGCATGAGAGATTGAGACTGGTTTTGTTGCCTTTTTTTTTCAAATACAAAGATGAAATTTGTTGAAAAAGACTTCAGAGCAGGATGTTAAAATGGGCAAAGCAGAGATGTTTGCCTGCATGTTGAGAAAGATGAACAGAACAAAACTCAGACCTGCAGATTCATTTCATTTTATGGATCACCGTGTTTTCTCAGTTTTTCTTAAGCCCTTGGAGTTACTATTTCAATGCTCACAGGTCAGGAGTGACATTTAAATGCCAATATGGTTAATTATTGCAGCAGAAATCAAAACATGAAAGAAAAGTATGATTATATTGTGAAGATCTACATTAGCATTTACAGATGCATATTTATGCAATTTTATGCACCTCAGGATAGGAATCTCTAAAAGGATATGACAAGATTGCAAGCATTCAACGGCTCAGAAACGTCTGGCAAAACCCTGTGATGAACAATATCAATATAAGCTTAAGAACGTTCTCCCAGGTTTTATAAATTCTATGAATCCATCATTATATACAGAGAATCCACAAAAAAACGTCCCACTAGGCAGTTATAAGCATGGAGAGGCTACAAAAAAGGCTTTACATGAAGATAGTGGATCCAAGCCAGAAATAAAACACCTGGAAAAGCAAACAGACTTCGCAGAGCCCAAAATAATAAAAAAATAGAGCAGAAAATGTATTTCTAAAAAAAAAAAAAAAAAAGACTGCTAATAAAACTTACTTCGTTTCATGCAGTGTTCTTTTTCTAAAACGCATTGGTGCTGTCCCAAGTCCCAGAAGTCCTTGAGCTTCCTTGTGAACATCAGCACGTGTGGACTGCTCTGGGTCACTTATAACAGCTCTGACCGGAAAGAGCAGGGAGAAGCCCTCTGACTATTAGTAAATTTGAATTTCAGATCTTACATATTCTTGGTCAAGAAAACACCCAAGAATAACACAGCAATAAAGTCTTGGGAGTTATCCATTAAGCTTGCATAAATTTGTGGGCTTGTCTTTTGTTTTTACAAATTCTGAAGTTTACTACTCAAAATCAAATACATGCAATAATATTCTGGCAGTGCACTACTATGTACTAACTTTACTTGTATATATGTATTATTTAAAGTATATTTTATATAAGTATATATCAAATAAATTTTAGGATTACAAAGGTGGGGTTTTTGTTTGGGGTTTTTTTTTTTTTCCTCATTTCCACTACTTCTGTAAATATTCCATCAGTAATACTCTTTATCCACGGCCCCCTCCAAAATCAGTGACAGCAGTTACTAGTACTGGCCAGTGCCATCACCCAACAAAAACACCAGCACTTCCTCTCCCAAAGCACTGACTACACAGCCCATAGGATCTCAAAGTTCCATCAAGCAGAAAAGAAATAGATGATCTGGTTTCTGAACATTTTTATATTCTCTGTATCAGTTTAACAAGTAAACAAAAGAAGAGACCCTTCAAAAATAAATTAGATTCTTTTTACATTATTGAAATGGTTCATAATCAGAAGGAAAAACTAATTTTGCAAAGCTAATATAGTTTCATAAATTTGCTCTCTGATCTATGCAGATCTATCTTTGCACACATCAGTTACGCTGATCTACCTGCAAGACTGGCTCTACTGAAAAAAAAAATAAATATCAAAACACCTTTGTGTTTCCTTGAAATAGATTTTTTTCATGCAGCAGTTTTGAACTAATCTTCTCCAATTAACATCCTGCTCTCTGATACCAATTTGTTTGGCAGTACTGGCACAGTTATATTTGGAACACAAGCACAGAGGGTTTTTTTAAATTAAAAGTTCATCCTGATGCAGCTGCAGCACTACTGAATGCTGTTTTGACATTGTCAACAGAAGGGTTCAGAGCAGAAGGAATATATGAACAAAATAAGGCAAAGCAGCTGAAGGAGGTTAAGCACAGAATGAACATCCATGATCCAAGATGCACAAACCTGTACGTTTAGTCCAACACCAATAGAACTGAATCACTTCAACACAATCAGTACATTTTTAAGATAATCTCTGTAATCATCTGCTTCATCTATGTCTTTGTAGAGATACAATATGAGAAAAGCCTTTCTTTGAAAATTGGAGATTTCTGCACTGAATACTTCCATATTTTTAATGCTGCTACGATGACACTTGGAATTTAACATTGTGTTTCACGACAATCTTGTTTCCTTCAGTCAACTTTCTTGATATCTCAGCTTTTAAACAGTGTAAAAGCATTAACAGACTTTTAAACAATATAGGTCATTTAAACTGCAGTTGGAATGGAAACAAAGAAAAACAAACGGCGAAGTGCAACAACATTTCAGCCTCAAAGTCCTAAGATCTGATTGGCTATAATATCGGTACAGATGACTACAGAGATTGTAAACTATGCACAGAATGCAACATACTATAGACCTACCCACAGATAATTTTTAGCGAGTGTAAGGGTAATACGAAACTATGTTAAACTAGCTTGCACCATCTTATGTTGCCATAACCAGACAACTCGGACAAAACCCTGAATTATTAAAGCATGCTCAAAAATGAGAAGTAGTTTATGGGAATAATAAGAAGAAGAAAAGATGTTTTTATTATGCTCATCTTTGCCTATAAATTACTTTTTTTTTCCCCCTTAACATATAAAGGGATATTTCTACAAAGCAATGCTTTCTTGGAGCTAAAGGGATAGCAAGGAAGTTAGGAGAGCCTTCCTGTACAGCCTTGAGCAACTTGATTCATCATTGTGCCTTTTTTTCCTACCTGCCCAACATTGGTACAATACTCCTTTATGCCTGAGGGATGTTGCGTCAATATTAATAAAGAAATACTAATAAAGCTAGGTTTCTTAGAAAAGACAATAAATACTGAAGAAGTGTAATTTGTAACAGCAGGCATCCATATATTTCGCTGAGATGCAAGAGGGTTATTTCTGAGAACCAGTGCTATTATAAAGCCCTCAAACTAGGTTCAAGTATAAAATTAAAAGTTATCCTCAGAAAAAAATGAACTCACACGTAGCACTTTAAACTGATCTTCTAAGTCAAATTAAAAAGACTTTTCATTTAAAGAATTTTTGCAAATAATAACTTTATATAAGACTGCATAAGACTTGGAACAAGATGATCAAAACACCTTTTAGGCAAGAAAACCACACACTCACAGATCTAAATTCTTCTGTAGGTTTTGGGAAAACTGAAACTTTACATTATAAATTCGCTTACCTAGATAATTGATCTGCTATCACTTGTTCTACTACAGCCTGTTTTCTCCTCTCTGCAGCAACATCCTCCTGCAACGAAAAACTGACTGAGTGCAAATGAAATGTATAACACCAGGCACTTCAAATAATAAATTACCCTTTAAGATAGCATTCAGAGGTCACAGTCTTACCAATGTCACAATTAATCTTCTTTTATTTCCATCTTCTTTTAATGGAGTTCTAGTTGCATAACAGACATATAATATTCTCTGCTACAGACTCAAATTTTCTATGCATATTAGTTGTCAATAAATATGAGAATTCTAGTATTTCTCTTGACAGTCAGCATCCTTATCTCTGTATTGTTTCCAATAAATTCTGTAAGTACAATAGTACCTGAGCAAATTCACACTATTCCAGGTTTAATGGTTGACACAGATTCCAACTCAGAGAATGGAACTTTACCTCCAGCAATATTTAGTCAAAAAAATTCTTTTAAGACTTAGTCTCAGTGCACAATTTTTATTTGCTTCATGCCACAATAATTTTCTGCTGAGATAGGCCAACCTGAAAAACCTCTCAGGAAAGATCATCCTAAGGGGGAAGGGGATTTAACATGATCTTATCATTATTTTTACTAGAGTAACGCTGAACCATAATCTTGTGCCATTCACTGTAAAGTGCTCAGGTGCTGATCATCATTTGTTTCACAGAAAGAGAAAGCAAATCACAAGAAGTTGCCCCAGGACAGCATGGAAGCCACTGGCAACAACCAGGCCCCAGCATCCCGCTTCGTTTTATCTTCCAGACTTCTGAACTTTTTCTTTCCCTTTTCCCAAAAAAATTAGTTTCTATAGATGAGAAAAAAGATTATTTTACTGAGGGGGCTTATGCAACCTTTTTGACAACTTTGTAGGTATTCTGAAACTGAAGAATTAAGATATTTTTTCCACACAATTCTTCTGTGCAAATCAAATTCTAGATAGATCAAGACTTCATGTGGCTGAAGAACCACCAAAATTTGGTTCCCAGACACCAGGTAACTGTAAGGGATAATCTCTAATTCCACACAGTTGTTATGGGTATGAGTCACAACCTTCAAGGAAATAGTGATTGGCACTAGCCATAAAAAAAAAAAAAACCACACTAAAAAAATCCAAATAAATAATGTAACACCAGAGCAACTGGTGTTTATTCCAAACTGATTTTAAGCCTTAAAAGACTTCCGAATTATAGGAGATAGGGAGCTTTTTAGTTTGCTTTCATATTCCATTTTTGCACCTATCAGAACTACAGAATGCTTTATTCCGAGTTACTGAATCTTTGCCCATTAACTGTCCAAACAGATGCATTAAAAAGCATTAGGTAAAGGAGGACACAGTGATAACACAGAGCAGTGTTTGTTAAAACACAACATATTCCATGGACCCTGGCTTACAGAGCCAAACCACCAAGCATGCTGAAAAGAACCTGATTTTTAAAAAAAGAAACCTTACACCTTGAATTTCAATTGAATACTAGGTCACTAAATGTACTCTTCCATGTAACATCTTCCCTTCAGCTCTTGGATAAAAGCTCTACCATGAATTTACAAAATTGCTGAGGCAAATATAGAACTTGCAGTAGCTCTCAGTGGTTAAAAAGTAGTAACTCTTGTTCATAAAATATGATTATTCAGAGAAAACCAACCTTCTTCCAAAAAACCTAATTTTATTGTATATAGCATGTATTGGCAATCACAGATGTACTATAATCTGTTTTGAATAAGGGAACTTCCATCCCAAACTACAGAAAAGTTAAAAGAAATTCTACCTTAACATTAGAGATTTTGGTAATGATTACAGTAAAAGGAAATCAACATTGTGTACTTTTAAGCAAATTTTTAAAGCACTTTAAAATCAAATGCCAACAACTAAGGCAACGTATACCCAATGGAATTAATATGTATGCAGTTACTACTTCTGATTTTTTTCCAATTTTGCTACTACTATCAGAAGGTTGAACCTGAGAGAACATAAAAAATGCTCCTAGAAAGAGACAGCCAGTCTGTACAACCACGAGTGCTAATCATTAACAAAAGAGCGTGTAAAGGTCCCAGTGACACCTTGCTCAGACACCTGCTGGCTTCCTTTTAAAGCATGACAGCTGCAGTGTGCCTGTTATTTTGTGGTCCTGCACTGCTCCCTTTCTCAGTATTTTCAGCTTCTTTGATTTAGCATTAAGTAGTTACTCTAATGATACTTCAAAATTTTTTTCCATTATCTTTGGCCTATAGTATAGATTTTCAAATTTATTCTAAAAATAACAAACAGGAGGTTCTTCCAGTTCTTCATAAAAGTACTTTCTGAAAAGATTTTCCTACCATGAAAATGAATAGTGACCTCAGTAGTGCAACATCTGCATTCACTTTGATGAGACTAGAAATCAAATAAATGTTTGCAATGATGCAAAATTCAGTGCATAGTGATGAGCAAACAAAATAAATTAAAATTATTATTTACTTTTACAATCTCGTAAAATTTCTCATGGCTTAGTATTCCATGAGAAAGTTGGAATGCTAACTCTGTTCAACAATACTTTCAAAAACCAGTTATGAAAGCCATCACTCTGCATATGCAAATACTGAACCATGCCATATCAAATCTCAAGGTTCTTCATCATTGTAAATAATTTTAAATTCAAGGCTTATCCTTAGATGGGCAAGACTGCTATTGTTCAGTCCTAAAAACAGTAAAAAACACATCTATACAAAAAGTTAAAGAAACATACTGGGTATGTCCATATAAGAAAAGTTTTATGTCCCCTCTACGCAAGCTAGTGAGGCCATACTTGTCTCCAGTTTTCAGGGCTCCCTCCTTCCCTAGATCAATGGGGATGAGAGGAACCTGGAAAGGATCTGACAGAGGATCAGAGCCAAAGTAACTGAAAGGAAAGGCTAAGGGAGCTTGCGTTTGTTTAGTTTGCAGAAGCAGCAGCTATGAGGCACTCTGAAAACATCCTACAACCAAAGGGAAGTTACAAAGAAGACAGAACCAAACTTTTTTTGACAGTGACCAACAGTATAACAGGAGGTGAAGGTTACACACTAAGCCTTGGGAGGCTTGGTATGGGTAATAAGAAGAACTTCTTCACAAGGAGAGCAGTGTATCACAGGAAGATGTTACACCTAGAGATGCTGTAGAAGTTCCATCCTTGCAGTTTGAAGACTCAGCCAAAGCCATGGCTGACCCAATCAGCAGCAGAGCTCGTACAACTTACAAAGCCAGTTCTCATCACATACTCCATTTCAGGAGCTAATGATGGAAAACAGTCTGTTTACTCTAGGAACAAGTAGAGTAAAAGCTGATGGAATCATGGAACCCATGGATTATGGAATACAGGCTCATGTACAAACTACAGACCAGAGGAAATGTAACACTATACTCAGGTTTACTGAACTCACTCAGTTAATCTCAGTTGTAAGTATATATCTGTAATTATTATTCATAATTTGCATTCTTATTTATATGCATTTCTGTATAAGATACAAGCATTGCCAATAACATTAAAAAAATGCTCACTGGACTGCTCAGGGCAGCTCCCATTGAAACAAATGTTTAAACTCCCATGATTTCAATGGCTGCAATTACATACTGGGACCAAATCACCAAAGGCCTAACTTCTGTTGAACATCTGGGAAGTCATTCTACAAGTGTAGACAGTTAACAGCATAATACCAGCCAAAATACTTACAGCTTCTGATTTCCTTATACTGTGCTGCATATTATAGGGCTTGCTTGTGTAGCATTGTTGCAGGAGAGCTTTCTCATCAAGAGCTGTAAGATCATCATTATGTCCATCATCAAGCTGTGTACCCTACACAAAAATACACTCTTTTCATAAATCGAATTTAATTAATTGTAAGAAAAACAAAACAAACAAAAAAAACCTCACACAACACATTTTCCTCAACAATTAATTTAAAAGTACTTTTCTTTCTGTTATTTTTTTAAAGTGTCTACTTCTTCCACTTCATGCTAAGAAGAAAAAGTAAAGAACCTTTTTAAGCCTAGCTTTCTACAGAAACTGAACTTATAAACCTTACTCTCTCATCTTTCCTTATATCTTTTGAATACTGACCAGCTTTCAACCATATTGAAATTAAAAATAAAAAAGATCTCAAAAACACTGTGCTCCTACAAGCTTTGTGAAAAATCAGCAGCAAGTCAGAGAAGGTAGACTGTTAGTACCTCTCTGAAGAAGACAAGAGCTCATCCTTTTTCTGTTCCACTCAAGAACGGCCAAGAGAAAGCAGTGGATTAGACAGTATGCATATAGCTCAAAGTTTCCCATTGCAGAGATCATAGAATCACAGAATGGTTTGGGTTGGAAGGGACCTTAAAGCCCACCCAGTTCCAACCCCCCTGCCCTGGGCAGGGACACCTTCCACCAGACCAGGTTGCTCAAAGCCCCATCCAACCTGGCCTTGATGCTGCTTTTTGACCAGTAAAGAAGCTACATACAGGGAAAAGCCAAAGTGTACTGCTGAACTGCGTCTAACAGAGTTGTAAATCAGTCCAAGTATTACGGAAATATTTCCCACATGAAGGATATGAAGAAAACTGACAAAAGAAACTCTGTTTACAGAAGTCAAGAAGGAGGGAACATGGGAAAGAAATCAAAAGAGGAGGTTTTGTTAGCAGTGCTCCCCTAGCAGCAGCTTCTTTTCAGAGAAGAAAAGTTATTACAAGTTCCACTAATCAGGTAATAAGGATCCTGAAATCTAAAGAGGTTTTGATTTATTAATTCAATCAGGTAGTGATAATATCTAACATAGAAAATTGTTCTGCTAGACATTGTATTAAAACCTGCCATAAAAATTGACACACATGGCTTCTAGTGCTTAGCAGGTATCTTTCTGCAACCCAAGATCACCAGAATAAGCCAGTCCTGCTTTTTCTCTCCCAGTATACACTTGCCACCTCTTTCTTCAGTTTCAGATTAACTTGGCGGCTCCTGCAAATACCCTTTTGATGGGCTTGCAGTACAGCATATAAAGGAGTCACTCCTTAGAAAACAGATGACATGGTGGTGTCAGACTGGTACATAAGAGTGGAATCATTAAAAAACAAAACAAACAAAAAACAAACCAAAATACTACAACAAACCCCCAGAACTGACAATCTTAACTGCCACCAAACATAAAACTACACAAAATAATCAAATTGGTTTTTTCACTCAACTCTTTCACTCACAGAATGTTTACTCATAGGTATTTGCAGGTTCTCCATGTTTTATCTGAAGACTAGGAGCATGATCATAAGAGGAGAAAGCTCCCTTAAAACTATCAACAGTATGTGTAAAACAATGACAACAATATGTGAAACATAATCTTTGCCTCATTTAATACCCTTCCTTTTCATTCTACTGAACATTAAGCAAGTAAAATCAGTAAACTCATTGTTATACATCACAAACCTTTTCTCTGAAAAGCAATGAGCACAATATGTTCCCTCAACATCTGCATACTTAACTTTTCATTATGATTCTTAAATGGTCATCTACCCTCAGCACAGTCTAACATTTGACCAGTCCTCACAGCTGTTGCTTACTTTTGTTTCCTGTTTCCTTACACCTACAATGATGTATTTTGCTCTGTGCAACCACCTTTCTCCACTCTCTTCCAGAACAAGAGGAAAGTTGTTTTCCACCCCTTTGTTTTCCAGTTTCTCTCCACTGATCTTCCCTTGTTTGCATCTTAGTTTTAATTTAAAAATACAAAAGAAACCTGGCAGAATTAATACAGCTTGCAGTCCAACTGTACTAGATCTTATACACTGTCAAAGCAAAAAGTACAGATATCTTTCATTATTTTAACCCCGTATTCCTCTCCATTTTCAGTGTTAATAGTTCTCTAAGGTACAGATTACATCTTCCACTTCTTTTTTAAGTCTTATATACAGTCATAACTGAATAGAATAATAATTAATATTCTTCTATATTTAGAAAGTAAAAAAGCTTGAATGCATTTCTATATTTAGAAATAACATTTTACCAAGATCTTCCCACTGTCTCTCATCTTCTTAGGCTGCAAACTCTTCTCTACAAATCATGCTAATCTTCATGCTCAGGCTAGAGGTGCACTATGAGGGCAAATGCTACATTTCTTACCAGAGAATACAAGTATACTTAGATTCTCAGAGCATCTCAGTTTCTTACTCTGGAACAATTGAAATAAACTTCCTATATTTTATTTCCTACTCAACATTAGATGCTGAAATTACACATTTTTGTTTCTTTACAAGAAAAACATGGAAGAAATTAATTACACACACGTGCAAACCTCTCCAAAACTGTAATGAAATACCAGTGTACATTTGCTATGTAAAAATGCAATTACTTCTTTGCAAGATACCTTTATCGAAGCTTCTGGACACCGGAGGTCGTATTTTTTCTTTTCTGCAATTCTCTGAGAATAGTGCTTATATTCTTCCTTCATATCTGCTTCATACTGACGATACTTCAATTTATACCTGTCTGTTGGGGATGGCAGATTTTCTGGTATCGTCTTCTGCACCAAAACAGAATGCCAAAGCAAAGAATAATCAATAGAAAAGCCTCTGGTTTATCTATTGGATGAGAAGAGCATTATTATAATTCCCATCCAGTATAACTTCTGAAACTTCTTGACACTGTGCCTCATATGAAGAAAAAATGCAAACATGATTGCATATTCAGACTTAATTTTCATTGAGTTTGTCATATTCCACCATTTTTTAACCTAAAAAGTACCCAGTCAAATGGGTTTACATCACTTTTAAAGAGAGAAGCCAAGATCCAGTGTTTCTGTCCTATAACATGTTACAGATCACTAAAACAGGAATTCTGACATTTGATTTTGCACAGCTGAAAATGGGCTGATGGATTTCTTCAATCAGAAGTTCTAATATTCTTGGACAGCAGATGAGTATTAGTACTGGGACTTCCTTCCCTAGAACAACATCAGCTGAAAAGGCTAAGCACCTTTCTAACTTTACATCCATTTCAGTGCTCTACACAATGGAGGCTGGATCAATAGAAACAGCAACAATGACAGAAGGCCAAGACTCCATTCTTTCTCCCCTGAATAACTAACATCTTCAACGTTTAAGCAACATTTCTTCAATGCTAACAAAACTAAGACAGCCTTATCTAGCATCTCTACTTGATACACTGCTGTTACAGGATGAGATGTAACAGTCCTGTTCTAGAAAACCATTTCTCAAAAACCCTAAACACTTACGGTTCTTGAAAGGGCAGCTTTCTCTTTCAAAAGAGGATCTGCATCCCTTCACTGGTTAATTCCTGAATGATAAGACTATATTTAAATTATTCTTCCAAAAGTGACCTATTTTGGGAAGATTTACTTACACAGTCTGTTATTGAAGAAGCTGGACTATATCTTGCTAAAGGAACGCTCAGTCAGGGCCCCAGAAGCAAGCAATGCAGAAATAAAGGCCACTCAGAGGAATACATTAAAGTATTTTAGAACTGCTTGAAAATCTTCTCCACAAAAAAGAAGGGAGGTGGGGGGAAGTCAGGCAAAAAGAGAGAGGGAGAGTAAAAGAGGGTAAGTGAACAGAATATACATTCCTGCACATTCAGCACTTCAGTATTTAAGACATAATGAAGGTAGAAAGGAAGCAACAGGAGATAAAGGAAAGCAGAGAAGAAAGGGAGAAAGACCCTGAGAAACAGACAAAGCCATATCAACCTTCCGTTAGACTTCCTGCAGCTAGACAGAATTATATGTATGAATTTTATATTTAAAAAAAAAAGAAAAGGTAAAGCAAGCAGTGAAATTATAGGCATCCAGACCTAAAAAGAGTACAGCAACTCAAGTATGCTTACGCTGCACATTTACAATGCAGTACAGAGGAAGATAACCTCTGCATAGTTACACGTTTACAGTTACATCTTAAGACATCCATAAATACCTGTTGGGCACACAGATATTGTGAAAAATAGTGCATTCTCAGTCCATTACTTAAAAAAAAAAAAAACAAAGAAACCCACACAACAAAACTTAACCATTTCAGGTTTTTATTTAAATTTTTTTTTAATTTTTTTTTCAAGTTGAGAAACCATTTGGTTGTATCAACATATAAACATATAAAATGATGATCTTGGCAGATTCACCTTGAGCTCCAGCCAATCTGGAGTCTTGCCCTACAAGTGGCTATATTATTCAAGGGGCACAGATGATGTACGAATTAATTAATAATTGTTTTTTCCTCTAGCTACACTTCTGTTTTAAACACACTCATTAGAGTATTTCTTAGGTTTACATAAGTTAAATATTTTTGAAATAATGGATTTTTTAAACAGGATATTTTCCAATTCTTCCAAAAAGAGATAACATTGGTAAGATAGGATATTTCCTGCATCCTAACCAAATAAAAACATACTACTACTAGTAAGAATTTTACCATGATTATGTATGGTGCACGATTATGACAGAAAACAATCATGCAGGTAGCATTCTTCCTGAATTAGTTTAAAGCTCTAGATACCTAATCTCTCAAATATATAGGTACTACAAACAGAAGACTACTGTTTGTAGTACTCCAGCACTTTCCCTTTAATTAACACATTTGAAACACTCAAAATCCTGACGGAATGAGAGCAGACTAAAAATAGTCTCTCCAATTCCTGTCACGCAAAAGAAGTTAAAATATATTACATTTTCAGACCATATACTGTAGTACTCTACTACTGAATTGCTAATGTTATTTTGTCAGTGTATATTTTTTCAGCTACTTTACCTCTATTTTCTTCTGACAAGATTTTCTAGACACCTGTTTAAACTAAAGGAAAAGAGAAATTAAATATGTATCATGATCAAATAAAAAACGGTCACATCCATTTGTTCAAATTTAATTCAAATATAAGAGTTCAAAGGAAAACTTTTCCTGCATTCAGGGAACTGTCATAACAGAGTAATTAATTCTTAAAATTGTTATAGTGGCTATTGATCATGAAGAGTGCTCTACTGTACTATAAAACAGAATGCTAGCATCTGGACTACTAATTTTCCTTACAAAGCACCTAAGATTAGTGGTGATTAAGTTTCTTAGTCATCCAGGGAAAAAAAAAATGCTGATATGCCATCAGGAAATTTTAAAAATAAAAGTGCTCTGACAAATTAAACATAATTTCGAAGTAACATCACAGTTCTGTTTTAAAAAGACACTTAAGAAAAACCCTATGAAATGGCTGCATGTAACTACGAAAGTTTTCTTTTCACCAAAAGTAACTACTCTTCTATAGAAATAATAGTTACTGTTTGTAAACTTGAGTTTTGTCTTCAATCATACACTTACTGACTACTCTCAATCTTATCTTTATTATTTTTGTGAGTTCCACTTTGTCTGGAAAGGTAAACCAAAGTTACACGCTACCTCAAAAGTATTACATTATTACTAAGAAGCCTCTAGAAAGTAAGTAATTTGCCAAAAATATTTTCGACCAATAGCACTTAGACATATGGGTTTAACCAAAAGAAAAGAAGAGAACTTTTCTAAGAAAGTTAAGTACGCTTTCCTAAATTACTGCTAAAGAGCATAGAGGTATTTGTAGTGACAGACTGACCTGTTGAGCCTGATCATGCTGCGCATACGGTGTTTGTAATGATGTTCTCCAATCTGAAGATGAATCTAGAGGGCATGTATGAGGATAACTTCCACTGTATGGTATGTAAGAGTCCCCATCCTAAATTTACAGGGACAAAAAAAAAAGGGACAAGCAATTATAATTGTTTTGTATTCTGAACGATATTTTTATAAACTCCTGCAACACATGAATTCTAAAATATGTTCAAGACAGAATAAACTTATAATTACCTCTTCATCAGAATCTCCCAGCCTCCCTAGATCTAGGCATGGCACCCTGTAGGAAGTTAAAATTATTTTCATAGCAATACATTCTCTTATTTTTCAATTACAGTAAAAACAAACTGCCTACTAGTTATTATTATTAGCTCCTTCACAAAAATTTCCCAAGAGTTTCACCACAACTGGAGATCTCTATTAGCCCCTCTTGCTTAAGCTCAGGAACTGGCCACTGAGCTTTTCCTTTTCCCCAGTTGCAGAGTATCCTGGCAGCCACAAAGGGCCCCTGCAAGGCCCTTCTTCACTCCCAGCACAACCACCTTGGCTTCTCTTCACTCCTCAACAGGAGCTGCTGCAACAAGATCATAAATCAGGGATTCTTTATTCCTGTCCTCCACAGCAGGTCTGTGTCAACATCCCTCTATAAACCTTCCAAACTTTTTGTAAGAGATTAACACAGTGGAAGCCAGCTATACTTCACTATTTCATTCTGCTTAAAGAAAAGAAAACATCTCCAATTCATCAAAGCAGCTCTTTGCCTTCTGCCATTACTCCAAGAATACTCCAGAGCACCATGAGTACATTTTTTTTAATATATATTTTACCACCAATATTTCCAAACAACCCAATTATAACAAGATTACTTCTTGGAATAAGAGAGCTCCTTAATTTCCAGTCTTTTTTCATTAGAGAATGACTGACAGTACACAGAAATTGAAGTTCTTTGACTTCGATACAAACAATCTAAGGTCATGGTCACACATACTTGTTAAATAATGTAGAAAGATACAATGGCTGTAAGGCATTCCAGTAAAAAAAAAAAAAACCAAACTATCAAACATAGTCCTTGGAATAGCAGACGCTGCTTATCTGCCAAAGTCACTATAAGGTTTTAAATTTTATAAGCACTGTACAAAACTTCTCATTGCTTGTAAAAATCCTTCACAACAGTTTCTCTGTAATTTTTACATTCTGTAAAGAATTCTGCAAAGAAGGCCAATAGTTAAAAAATGTTTTTCTCCTTTTGCAGACTATTATACAAAAGTACTAAAGCAAGACTAGGTATAAATATAAAAGCTCTCACTACAAATCTACCGTTAAGTTCAACCAAATGTAAATCAACTTAATTCCAATGTAAATAATCAAATATTCTACTCTAAATATAAATCGTAGAAAACAAACCTATGATGATAAATTTCACGGAACACTGAGTTGCATATCAATACAAATGCAAATGCATTGTGTTAATAATGCACAATTAAATAAACTAATCAGAAATAGAAGCAGACTTACTCTGGTGGGCGAGGACCGCGAGTAGCCCGTGTATCTGGTCTCCAGCCCTAAAAGAAAGACATACTATTACATATCCATGGGGAACAGGATTAAAATACATAGTTCTCTCTTTCAGCTTCCCCTGGAATATTTAAAATCAATGCCTCAAAGTATCTGTCTGACCTATTTGACTGAGATGCTACTAACAAAAAGACAAAACAAAAACTTTGACTTGAAAGTTGATTCTTGCAGATCCTGAGACTAAAAGACTGAATATTCATCAGGACAGAAAGATTTCCAGCCATTAAGAATCTAGATAGTATCTACATCACGTATTAATAATGCATTAAAAATAATTCACGTTCCTGAAGCTTTGCCCAATCACTGCTCACAAGGTTTTAGGTCACATCGTCGTCATTGGTTGGGAGCCAACCCTTAAACCAAACCCACAATACCGACAGCCAGCTGGCTCACAAGAAGCTAGCTCAGACCCCAAAGGAGCCCTAATATTTGATGTAACTGTACCATCTCAGCTTTAGTATAGCAGCACATGATGATGATGAGGCAGCTTCTGCCACTGTTTATTTTGTATGGCTGTGTACCCCACAGATCTCCAAACTCAACTGAGCACGAACATGCCAAGAAGACAAGACTTGAGCCAAAGCTTCACCTACCCCTCTATGGCTTTCTGAAAACAGCCAACAGCAAATCCTTCGGGAAGACTGACCGACTGGGACAAGCCCCCACCTTGCCTTCAAATCTATAAAAAAAATGTGATTCGGGGATATTCTGACCCAGGGCCAGCACCTTTGTTTTCACACTCTTCAGCTCAGAGATCTCAGCATCACAGTCTGAACTGAGCAGACAGCGTATTTCCAGCAGTGCCCTAACACCTTTCACGATTCGAGAGGAGTCACAAAACTGTAACTCCTTTCTTGCCACACACCCTTGTAGCCTGCCCCTGAAAAAAGAAGTTCACGGTTCAACAACTCTACCCTCTAGTGCCTTCAAAAAAGGGTATTCAGGTTTAAAAAAAATACCGGTTTCTCTCCAGTAAGGTCGCACATAATAAACACCACCACCTTGTGGCCACGTATGTAAAAAACCGCTATGAGACGCAACGTAATTTAAGTCTTAAGACTAAATGCAATGCATTAAATCACAAGCATATAATTTTTCTGTACCATTTCAACTGTGGTAAGATAAAAAACATACCACATTCTAGATGTTAAAGTCTTAATGTAATTCCTTTTCCAGAAGTCATCAAATCAGGAAGAAAGCAAATAAAAATCATCCTGAAGACTGTCCACCTTTAAGGAGTGAAGTACATAGTTTGAATCTAATTTTAATCTACGATTTATTTTTGCAAGCCACCAAGAATCACATGGACTAGGGAGTCTAAATTTGGAAACTGAGGGGCATGAGAAACAGAAGAAAAATAGAGATGAGAGATTAGAGAAAAACAGCCATTTCTTTTCTTTTACAACTTACACTAAACGCCCCAAATGTTCCTGCAGGTATTTCATTCTCAAAAGACTGGTTAAAAGGTAACATTGTAACATTGATGTGATATCGTTTACAAAAGGTCCTTTGTCATTCCAAATCAAACAAAAAGGAAAACAGCAACTTGGCAGTCAAACTCCAAGAATTCCTAATAGGATCATCTAACAAAAAAAGGAAATTAAATGGGTGCTTGGGGCCTGAGGGAAGATTGCCAATTAACTTTACTTCATAAAGTACAACATAAAGTACACAGTATCTGTGAGAAAAATCAACTGTCATTAACAATATTAATATTTACCTTAGCTATAATAAAAACAGTGGCCTTCAGAATCCAAGACTGTATTTGCACTGATCAGGCTTTCAAAAGTTAGCCTGGAAGTTTCTGCTACAGTCATCTTGTGAGCATTGCACACCTACCTTATCTCAAAATGTAGACTATTAGGAATACCTGGAAAGCAAAATTCTCCTTCACACTAAATGCAGAGCACTGAGATTCATTTTACACATCAATCTGAAATCATGCCTTTTGAAATTATGTTTTGGGGGCTGTCTTGCAAAACAAAACCAGACACACCTGTTACCAGTTCCATCAACAGCCTGAGGCAGCAAACAGTACCGGTTCAAGCCTCTGTTGCTCTTAATTGCAAGCACTAGCTCCTTCCCAAGTTCTCCACACCCCAGTTAAGTACTCAGAATATCAGTTACTTTAGGACAGCTGTTTTTATTGGAAATTCTCACCTTCATTTGAGAAGCCGTCATACTAAACCATCACTTTCTGAAAAACATAATTTCTTTAAAAGTTTCCTTCTCTACAGAACTCATTGTAATCTCAAACTAAGAACTTTCTGAGGTATGATTAAAATATTTGTAAAATGTCAAAGAAAGGAAAGAAAACAACCACAAGCCTTCCGTTAACATACCTGCCGTTTCTTCCCCCTCCATGACAGCTGAGCCTGCCTTCGAGGGGATGCAGCAACTCCTTTAACTTCCAAATCCATGCAAATTCAATGACAGCCTTCAGAATAAACTGAAAACCAGAAAAGGCTATTAAGAAAATCATGTATATTTTATACAGGTACTTCTGCAAAAAAAACATTATTGTGTTAGAAAGAACGTGCCTATCATCAATAATTTGGGTATTGTCTTCAGCAAGCTATGAAGTGTTGTCAGCTTCCCTTTTTCACCACCTCTTAATTTCAGTCTTTCCTTACTAATGCTTAACTAGATTCCTGTTCAAATTGACGTCTCTGCCTCAAGTTTAACTCCCTCTCTCCCTTACGCTTCTCAATACCTTCTCATACCGGTATTACTAATTTGCTACCCCTTGACAACATCAAACCTTTTTTACGCTTCACTTACGACCGCTGCCTGGCTCTCAACTGCACCGTGCCCTGGGACCAGGTATTTTCAAGAAGACATCGAGGCCCTCCCGGCACACAGCCGGCCGCCGACAGCTCCCAAACCACATTTTATCAGTACGCTATCTCCCGCTCGGCTGGTTTCTCCTTCCACCCAGCAGCCAGTTTTGAACCAAAAGCTTATCATTTAGTTCCCAGAAATCAGACGCTCCGTTTTCAACCGCACAAGCTGACCACGTTTCTACCTACCTACAGGTTCGTAACCCCCACGTATCCTCTCCTTCGCCAAGCAGGAGCACAGCCGGGGGCCTACTTGGAGACAGCGGCCTTCTAGCCACGGCCCCTCCCGGGGCACTCAGAACGAGGAGGCCCTGTCTTCGCATGGCCTCCTAGCTCTTACTGAACGTGCTGTCCTCCTAACTGAAGGCACACGGGGAAGAGAGGGCTGTTGCATTTGACAGCACGCTGAAATAACGTTATCGCAAACAATAATGCTCTAAGAGGTAAAACAGACACTATGGGCTCAGGCAGCTCCACGGAAACGATGTGTTTTACCGGGAGCGCGCTGGGGCAGGGCCTAGGAAAGGCCCAGGGCACCGGCCGGGTCCTCACCGGAGCGGTCTCACCGACGGGCCGCGCACCGCTG